TCTTGGCTGCATCTCAGAGGATAAAATCTAAATCATCATTTGCCTTTTTACTCCTTTTTTCCTTCTCCCATATCTAGGCAGGAACTATATCCCAGTAGGTATTTTGTGTAATGACCTCTCCCCCATGTATATAATAACTTTTGCATCTGTTTTTTCTTCTTTATTTATGTTGCAACTATTCAGGGTGCAACCCTCACCAGTGAACTCAAGGCTGGTGATTAATTCTAATTCTCATTACTGTTACAGGGAACTCACTATATGCCAGTCCTTGTGCTAAGTTCTTTACATGTATCTCATTTGATCCATACAATAACCCTGTCAGGTAGACAGTATTTCTATTTTGCAGATGAAAACACTGTGGCTTAGAGTGGTGAAAAAACTTACCCAAAGGGCTAGAAAGAGGTTGATCCTGGATTTAACTCTAGAACTACCTGTCATCAAGGCTAATGACAATATTAGTAATATCGGCTAAGTGTCATGGAACAATTCTTCAGCGTGCAGCATTTTGGTGAAGTTTTGATTAACTGTTACGTAAAATCTTCAAAATAATGCCATGAAGAAGGTAGTCTTATTGGAATTTTCAGATAAGGAATCTGAGGCTCAGATATGTTAAGAATCATGTGCATGACATTTAAAACTGCAAAAGCATACAGTAAAAAAGAAGAAATGTCTCAAATTGAAAGCAACTTTACAACTTAAAGATATATTTTTAAAAACAAACTAAAGCCAAAGAAAGGAAACAATAAAATTTAGAGTGGAGATAAATAAAATGAGGAATAGAAAAACAGTAAAAAAAAAAAAAGCAATCAAGCAAAAAGTCAGTTTTTAAAAAAAATTGAAAAAATTCACAACCTTTAACTACTTTGACTAACACAAGAAGAGAGAAGATTTGTATCATTAAAATCAGAAATGAAGATTCAGACATTACTAATAATTGTGCAGAAAAAATAATAATTATTAGAGTACTATGAATAATTGTACGGGAATATATTGGATAACCTAGATGAAATGGACAGATTCCTAGAAACACAAAACTTACAAGAAGAAATCATGAAAAAATTAAAAATTTGAATAGTCCTATAACAGTAAGGAGATTAAATCAGTGAAAACTCTTTACAAAACTCAACATTCCTACATGATAAAAGCACTCAAACTAGGAACAGAAGGCAACTACTGCCACATAATAAAGGCCACATATAAAAAGTTCACAGTGAATATCATCATACTCTGTGGTGAAAGGCTGAAAACTTCCCTTGTTAGGTCAGGAACAAGGTACAGATGCCTGCCTTCGCCAGTTTTATTCAACATAGTATTGGAAGTCCTCGCCAGAGCAATTGGGGGAGAAAAACTAAATAAGTGGTATCCAAAATGGAAAAGGTGATATCATCCCTGTCTGCA